ACCAAATATCAGCTAGCTTCTGTCTTCAGAGGGGGACCAGGCAGGGATGCCCATTCTCCCCCTCACTGTTTGCTGTCTTTATCGAACCACTAGCAGCAGCAATTAGGCAAACAACAGGTATTAAAGGCATAAAGTGTAAGAAAATAGAACATAAGATCAGTTTTTATGCAGATGATGTTTTACACTTTCTCCAGAATTCTCAATCCTCTCTCCCCCATTCAATAGAACTGATAAACTCTTTTTCAAGAGTTTCAGATTACTCTATAAACTGGTTAAAATCCACAGTTCTACCAATTAATTTCTCTTTTGTCAATTTGCTTAAAGGGGCATTATTGAAGTTTGACAGCCAAAACATGTATAGAAATAATAAATTTCTTCTTCATACATTCTCCTGCAATGCCCTGGTCCTGTATGAGCCCTGGCATTTTTACTGTGATTGCCTGTTTTTCTGTAAAATCACAGAAAAAGAGAGCTGCTCGGGTCGAGCAGGCTGCTTCATGCACGTTTACGCTCAGGCATAGCCCGTAGCATTTGCTATCCGTAGCTTTAGTCTTTGTCGCTGTTCCTAACGCCTAGTGACAAAGCTAGCTACATTTCTGAGGACCCTTAGCTACATTCTGTAGAACTTTCTTCTAGATAATTTCCTGCAAATTAGCAACAAAATAGTTATTTTTGCTCCGAACCGTTCTTTGAACGTTATTTCAGCTGTCATCAAGGATATAACTGTTACAGATACAAAGGACGTCACTGGAGTTTTAGCTCACCTAGTAAAACTTCGGACTCTCGTGCAGAAGACCAGGGTTCGATTCTGGATGTTAACATAGTTTATTCAGATTTTTTTTTACATTAATGGTATATTTTTTTTACAGTAAGATGCCCAACTTTTTATTTGAGACTCGCCGAACGGCATTGAATTCACAGATAAAAAAGTTGTGGGTTCAACTTTCATTTTGGAACAATTTGTCAAGCAAGGGAAGGGAATGATCTGAGCATGCAGGAGGACTGACCCTTCATAAACCTTTGTTGGCTGTGCTGAAGAGAAAGGTACAGAACCAAATTATTTAATTAATTAGCTGCACGTTCTCCTGCCCTCTGTCCTCCGGGACACACACACACACACACACACACACACACACACACACACACACACACACACACACACACACACACACACACACACACACACACACACACACACACACACACACACACACACACACACACACACACACACACACACACACCAGGGACTGTCTCAGCTGTTATTTTCATTAAGGAGTGTGCACGTACAGCATGCACGCCTCGTGCACGAGCCTACTATTGAAGCTGCCGTTACGCTTTTGGCCTGAGGGGGCAAAAGTGAGCATAAAAATTCAAAACTCCGTAAAGTCCCTTTAATAACCAGTTGGAGTCAGGGAAGGAGTCAGGGAATATCACATACCTGGGAATTAATGTCTCTCCCAAGTTGGCAGAACTAACCAAACTAAACTACATCCCACTTTTAAAGAAAGTGGATGATGATCTTGCAAGATGGAAATCCTTACCGATATCATTCATGGGGAGGGTTGCTACAATTAAAATGATGGTCTTGCCCAGAATAAATTACTTATTTTCCAATGATCCCAAAAAAGCCACCAGCTAACTGGTTTAGATCTCTGGACTTCTCAATCACTAAATTCCTTCGGCGGGATAAACCTCCACGAATTAGCTTAAAAATGCTTCAGAAGACCAAAGACAAAGGAGGACTGGATCTACCCAACTTTTATTATTATTTCTTAGCCAACAGGCTGCAATATATACCAACCTGGTTGCAAGATAACCCACTAGATGAGTCCTGGTTAGATATAGAACAGACACTTTGCAATACGATAGAGCTTTCAGACTTACCATTTATTAGCTCAAGCATAAGAAAACATGAAGGCTTCAAAAGTATTAGTATCAGCACCTCTCTGACAGCATGGTGGGAGTATCTAAAAATGACAGAGTCTTCACTAGTACCATGCAGACGCACACCTATCTGGAATAATCCTGATATTTTACAAAATAACAAAATGATGAACCTTCCGGACTGGAAAAATAAAGGAATCCTATACCTGGAACACATGTGAAGGATTGGAATTCATTCCATTTAATAGAATAGTCTCCCAACTTGGAATAGATAAGAAAAGCTTTTTTAGAATACCACCAAATTAAATCTGTAGTTAAAATTTTTTTTTAGCTCAATAAAGTAGAATTAAAACACCACAGTATTAGACTTCTATAATCTCAAACCCCCCAAACTACTGTCTAAAGTATATAAGACACTGTCCAAAATAGACGATAGAATAGTAATCCCTATTGAAAAATTGGAGGTGGATCTATCAGTCAGCTTTGACCAGAATTTCTGGTCCCAAACTTGTTTAAAAACATTTAAAATGATCAGACACCCTATTTAAAATTAATTCTGTACAAAATTCTACACAGAGTACACTATACAGGTCATCGGATGTTCAGGATGGGGTTTGTGTCAACTGACACCTGTACACACTGCACATTCCTGACAATTACATTCATGCACTGTGGTCCTGTCCACTTGTCCAGGAACTTTGGGGTAGAGTATGTGAAGACCTGTCAAAGTGTCTGAAATGTCATATCCCAACTTCCCCCTCTCTTTGTTTGCTGGGAAACCTGGACGATGTCCCGAATGAAACATCTTTGGTTCACGTGGTTCTGACTGCCACATGCATCGCTAAGAAAACTATCCTCATGAATTGGAAAAATAGAGATACTCTTTGCATTAACCAGTATAGAAATATTTTGTTAGATCATATTGCACTTGATATAGCCTCTGCTTCCACTTCAAGTCAATCTCTCTGGGCTCCTTTGATCGGTTCCATCACATAGCGATGATGGGGGGTCATTGATATTGTCCTGCGGGATGATGTTGGTGATGGGGTGGAGGGTCTGAGTTTGGAGTATCTGGACGTTACCTGAGGGTGGGTTCACTGGGGGGTGTCTGGGGCTGGGGGGCTGCTGCCCCTCTCTGGAGGTGCTTGGGTTGCCTCAGGGGGTGGACTACAGGCGGTTGTGACTGGGGCCCCTTGGGGGTCTTGGCGGTGGCCATGAGTTGCTGCCTGGCGGCTGCATTGCCCCTGAGTAGGTCTGGGTGGGGGCCAGGGAGCTCGGGGTGTGGGGTTGGCCGGCCCTGTGTGGGGAACTGGGCGGGGCCTTGGGGGTCGGGTCCTGACATGTATGCTGCCAGAGTCACAAAGTTGGCAACGCTGTATGAGGTGAGCTTGATTTGCAAGTCGGATGAGCGCAAGAGAGAAGTGCAAATAATCGTCTTGTTTTGTTTTTATAATCATTCCAAACTCAGAACGTAATTGTGATTACAATTCCATTAATTGAGCAGCCCTAGCACAGCCTTGTATTTAATACCAGAGTTCTACATGAGTTTTGTGTGGTTCTGACCTTAATTCATCTGCAGTCCGACTGTTTGACCCGCTTTAACTCTGCAGGGAAAATATTGATCCTCAGATTTGAGGTCATTTTAAAGGGAACAAGTTCTTCTGTTACAGTAGAAGTGTTATTAATAATAATAACAACAACAACAGCAACAATAATAATAATAATAATAGGATTTATGGGGAAACTTTAGCTTAGAGATTAACTTGAAAATTATTAATATTCTGACTTTTTTAACAATTTATTTATTGTTTATTTTTTCTATAAACATGTAGGTTAACAACCACAAAGTAAAATAAAATACATTAAAAAAAAACAAGTAATTAGAAAAACAGTATTATTGATCATTACTCAACAGTTTTTGTTTTGTTGAAGTTACTGAGATGAGGACAAAAATGTTCTGAGTTTCTATGTTTGATCAAGTTTATAAGATTTTAGCTCCAACATAAAAACAGCCAGCCTCTCAACTACTAGTGTTTAAACACCAACAGCCTTTAACACAGAAAAAGGTGGTTTAATCTGTTTTTATTCTTGAACTCTGTGGTTTTTCTTGTCTGTGGATCAGACCAGAGCTACCCAATCCCTGCAGGTGGTGGGTCCACAGTTGGATGAGCCCATGCATCCGGTTTGGGCTGGACCCGGCCAGGCCCCATGGGTAAAAGGCCAGCCACCAGGCGTTCGCTCACAGGCCCCAAACCCAGGCCTGGCTCCAGGGCAGGACCCCGGTAACCCTCAAAGCTAGGTACTTAGCCTCTTTGGTTTTGCAATCAGGAAGAGTCCTCTGAACCACTCTGTCTCTGAGCTGAGGTGGTTCAGGCATCTTGTCGGGATGCCGCCTGCACACTTTCCTGGGGTGGTTTTTCGGGCATGTCCTGCCGGTAGCAGTGCCCCCAAGTCGACCCAGGACACGTTAGAGAGGTGGCCTGGGAAAGAGGGCTGACTGGGATGCTCTACTTGAGATCCTGCCCCCGCGACCCAGACAAGCGGAGGAAAACAAAAGAACTGTGTGATTTTATTGTTGTCACCAATTGTTTTATGCTCCTTGTATATTTTTGTGTTGAAATAAAATGTGATATAAAATAAATCAGAATGGATAATTAAACAGTTAAAGAGAAAATTAGGTTTTATGCTAAAAATTGAATCTGAAGCTGGAGGGAGAAGAGGGATGAGAGGAAAGACGCTGAGGACTGAACAGTCGATCTCACCATCTGCCCCACACACACACACACACACACACACACACACACACACACACACACACACACACGGCTGATCTGAACACATCACAACTAAATAAATCTGTTTAATTGGACCTAATTAGATGAGACTATGTAGTCTGACCTCTGAGGGAGTTTACACTCATAAAGGCACCAATCATCATTCTGTTTGATCTCACTAACAATGTTAAATAATTATCTGAGCACCAAATTCAATAAAGCCCAAAATAAATCAAGTAAACAAACACAGAACTTTACAGAAGAAAGAGAAACAAACCAGCATTTACGGGTGAGGAACAACGAGATGGATCACGTCTGTCCTCTGACCACCAACCATACCTGTAAAATGGCTCCTGTGATGCACGACACGAGGCAACAGTGGTCTGAAGCGTCCCAGCTGCTTCACATCAGCTGTAGGAGAGAGAGAGAGATAGATGATCTGTTAGCCAAAGTTTATCAGAACTAACCAGGACAGGTAGAAGTCTTCTGTAGAGACTAGCAGGAACCAGGTATGTCTATAAATTGTCTGAAATACTAGTGTCCATCAGCTATCACCAGCTGGCTAGAAGATAACAATCAATCAATAAATCAATCAATACTTTATTAATCCCAGAGGGACATTAGAGTTTCAGTACACACAATTCAGAGATCAGACATTCATGGGCAAGACACATGACAAGAATTGGTGACTGTGGTCATTCGCAACCCGAGTCGCGCTACCTTAATAGAAATAAGAGGGTAACAAGAGGAACTGGTTCAGGCGGAGGGAAAAAAGGCACTTCACAGCTACCCTCCCACCACCAATAAAATCACACAGTTCGTTTGGGGGGGGGGGTCGAGTTTTCACAGCATCTGTCTGCATCCCTTCGTAGGGGTTTGTTGCTAGCCTCTCAAGGCTGTTATGACGTCAGATTGGTCAGGCTGAGATAATTTTCCTCTCTGCCTTCAGTCCGCTCTCCCCTCTCCGATGGGGCCATAAACAGAGATGATGGGGTTTACACATTGGATCGCACATGGGACTGCACCATCGGAGAAGGGAGAGCAGGCAGCAGAGGGCGACAACGTCCTCTGCTGCCCACGGATAAACAAAGTAGGAAGTGACGCCACCATCAGCGTCAGCTCTGAGGAAGTTTGCAGCCGTGAACGAAACTGTCAGCAGCAAGGTAAAAAAAAAAAACTTTTCTGTGTTTTAAAAAAGAACCATCAATGCAGTTAGAAAAGCAACACAGTAACAACATACCAAAGACTTTTTACATGTTTTAACAAAAAAGCCCTAGATCGCCTTCAGTTGGTCCAGAACTCTGCAGCGAGGCTCCTAACTGGAGCAAACAGAAGAGCACACATCACTCCTATTCTAATGTCTCTGCACTGGTTACCGTTAACTTTAGAGTTCATTTTAGAATCCTGACTATAACTTTCAGGGCTCTACATGGTTAAGCTCCTCCCTAGATTATTGAACTGTTAAGCCGAAAGCCTGGGGCACACCAGAGGCGGACGCGCCACGTCACGCCCGCGATTCTGAGGAGTCAAGTGGTCACACAGGACGCACCGCACAACAGTCAAATCACGCGGGACTTGAGAACAGGAAGTGGGAAGTGACTCTTGTATTTTGGTGCAGCGCTTCCCGTGTGCCCACTCTCAATAACTATAATGGCTTCTATTTAAAAGGACGGTGCGTTGCGGTCGCCTCTGGGGTACCCCAGGCTCCAACCCGAACCCAGAACCTTCTAGAAGTTTCAATGACCAGACATAAAAGTCGAGGTGATCCCTCCTTCCAGGCTGTTTCACCTTGACTTTGGAATGATCTTCCTTTATTCTTACGTAGCATTGACAGTTTAGACCAGGGGTGTCAAATATCCGGCCCGCAAACGGGTAAAGTCCGGCCCGCGAGACGGTTGTGTAAACTTTATTTTCATACTTTACAATGTAGAATGAAAATAAACTCATCTTTGTGAGCAAGTTTTCTCTGTAATGAGTATAACTAAAACAAAGCTGCGCTCAAGGCTCACACAAGAACTTGAATCACATCCTGAAGTTGGCCGCCACTCAGGATGTGACTTCTGATATTGATGTTCTGGTGAAAGCTAAAAGATGTAAAGTAAAATGAGTCAAATATACTTTAAGTGCTGCATGAAACTGATCTAGCCATGTGATCTGTAAGCCCTTTGAATCACTAAGGAATGTTTTATTTATTTATTATTATATATATTTAAAAAAATTTTTTTCACATTTTCAAGTACACTTCAGGTGTAAAACATTAAATGATTTTCAGCATACCAATCTTTACAGAAAACATAAAAACCCTAAAAAACTGCACATAAAATATAATAAGAAACAATATTCACTTATCACTTAGAGCAGTGGTTCCCAAACTTTTCAGCCTGACCAACAGATGTTCCTTCGTATTTTTACATTATTTATAAATTTCCATTATATTTGGAAAGTTTTAATTTATATATAAATATATAAATCTTTTAAAATTAATCTTTTAAAATTTTATATTTTACTTTTTTTATGATTATGTGGCACACTTGACTTCCATATACACATCGGCATCTGCCTCTTTTTACGGCTTCTTTTTTTTTTTTTTACATTGTCGCTACGTCTGTCACGTTAGCGGTGTTTTACCATCATTTCTAGATCCATCACGTCCCAGAGAAGGTTAAACCAACATCAAACCCAACGTTTGGAGCTTGTAAACGCCACACACCTCTCGTGCAGCACCAGCTGTCTGATGCTGCAGCAGCGTCCATCTTCCCGGCTGGATGAGTGAATTTCTTCATCAGAGTTAATATTCTACTTCATAATCAGAGTCAGTCATTACCAGACAAAGTGATCAGTCAACAAAGACCAGACCTGCCGGCAATTATGCGTTTTATCTCATATTTGCGCTCTTCATGTTGGGCACATCTCTTCTCCCCGACTGGGAGCCTCTCGGCGGGAGGCGATTTTCAAACTCTAAACACTCCCAAACTTTGCTCATCCTGAAGGTTCCACATCTCCACTATCTTCTGGTGTAAAGTAGTAACTTCATGAGGGATCATATTTGTAGATAAGACTTGTTAAAGTCAGCAATGAGGCTTTGGCGTTTATAACGAGTAAGTCCCAACACCGACAACAACGTACTGAAACTAGAACCAACACGCATAAACAGACAGATCGGTCCCGCCTACTTAAACAGTTGGTCTTTTTTAAAAACGCTGTAATCGTTGCTTGCCTTTTTCGCTTCATCCTGCATCCTAGCAGCAACCACTTTGGCGCCTCTGGAGTCGGTGTTTGTTTACGTCATGCTGCATTCAGTGTAATTGGAAAAAGGAGCTTCAAGCGCTAAACCTCCGATTTTGTTTTCTTTCTGGCCTTAGTTGGGGGGGACGGATCGGGGTCGATCTGACTCGGGGGGGGGGGGGGGGGGGGGGGGGGGAGACAGATCCCCCCCCGTCCCCCGCACGCCTGCTTACAACTGGTTCATTATTTAAAATAATCTTTGTGTTTGAATACAGGTTTAAAACATTATTCTGAATGTGTTCTGATACCAGAACCTAAACAAAATAAATATAAAAATTTTAAATCACATCATTAGATAAATAAAACAAAGCTGAAAAACTGTTGCTCCAGGAAACCTATAAAGGTCTTAATATTAGGAAATAAAACAGAAAAAGATGGAGACTGGATCAGGGGTTCTGGATCGGACCAGGAGTTTATCCATAGACCGTAAGTATTAGTGTGATCTGATGGTTCTCCTGAAAGTGACCCACTGAGAAGATCCACTCAATCTTCTGCAGGTTCCTCACTTCATCCCTGTGTCTCAGATTTGCGGACCTCTCAGAGCATGATTCAAACTTTTTAAAAGCTGTGTCTGAGTTCACACTGTGACTAGCTAATGTGTAGGCGTTTCTATAGCAACTGATGAATGGGATGAAACCCTGAGGATGCTGCAGCAGCTCCATCAGCAATCTCTGCCGCGGGAAAGAGGAGGAGGCTGATTCATCCAGCAGTTCATGACTCACGCTTTTCTTGTTTTCTAACTCATGGCTTCAAAGCTCTTGTCTCCAGGAGCGGTAAACATGCAGAGAACAGAGTCGTGATGGAACAGAGCACTGGCATAATCTACCCCGACTAAAGATGTAAGTAAACTGTGACTCAGCTAATGACACGCCATTGCTCCAAAAAGTGATCAAACTTAAATAATCGGTCATTCGGTCAGCGAGACCACAGTTTGGTTCTGGTTCTATGTGGTAGAGGAGCGGGTTGCAGGTCCAAAACCAAACAGGAGGGAGAAGTGTCTTTGTGTCCAATGAAAATGTAACAAGTATTTTTAAATGATCGGTTTCATTTGCTGTGATTGGTTGATAGTTCACCACAAAAAGAATCTCCAGCCAATCAGAACTAAAATAACTCAAACTTCTTTGGTTATTTTAAACTATCTGCATGAATTCAGCTCAAACTCAAACTTCTAACATCAAAGCTGTTTTGATTTAGAAAATATGAGAAAATTAAAAGGAAGAAGAAAATCATCCCTGGGTCAGGGATGAGGTCCTGCCCCAAATGGAGGAGTTTAAGTCTCTCCTGGTCTTGTTCACGAGTGAGGGAAAGCTGGAGCGTGAGATCGATAGGCGGATTGGTGCTGCTTCTGCAGTGATGCGGGCGTTGTACCGGTCTGTCGTGGTGAAGAGAGAGCTGAGTCAGAAGGCGAAGCTCTCGATTTACCGGTTGATCTACAATCCTACCCTCACCTATGGTCACAAGCTTTGGGTAGTGACCGAAAGAACGAGATCGCGGATTCAAGCCGCCAAAATGAGTGGCTGGGCTCTTCCTTAGAGATAGGGTGAGAAGCTCGGTCACCCAGGAGGGGCTCGGAGTAGATTTGCTGCTCCTCCACATCGAGAGGAGCCAACTGAGGTGGCTTGGGCATTTGATTAGGATGCTTCCTGGATGTTTCCCTAGTGAGGTTTTCCAGGCACGTCCAACTGGGAGGAGACCTAAATAAAGACCCAGGACACGTTGGAGGGATTGCAGGAACGCCTTGGGATTCCCCTGGAAGAGCTGGCCCAGGTGGCTGGGGAGAGGGAAGTCTGGGCTCAGGCTGTTGCCCCCATGACCCGACTCCGGATAAGTAGAAACAAATGGACGAATGGAAGAAAACCAACTGAAATGTTAAAGCTGCTTCCAGTGTTTCATCCGAGTCACCATGGTAACCACCTCAGACAAACAGCTGCTGGGTAAAAACAATAAAAACCTGTTGAACTGAGCAGAAATACACGTATTTGTGTGATTTAATGATCTGCTAAACCTGTGATGTGAGAAGATGCTTTCTCCTCTTTTTGTCCCTGATCTTTTCTCTCACCACGTATCAAAGTTCAAGTCGGCCCTAGAGGATGTCCATGGGTGGCTTAAAGAAGGGAACACTAGTC